AATTTTGAACTTTTAAAGGCAATTATAACATGATGTTGACCCGGGTCAAACCCGGGTCAATTAAATCATGACCCGACTCGTTTCGGAGCTTTAAGATAAAGTTGGCATCTGAAATTGGTACAAAATTCTGAAGTACAGGAGGTTATAACATGAGCTGCTGTTTTGTCAAGTTACATATCTAGAGCTGTCTTTAGGAAGGGGCTGACTGTAAGTAAAAAGTCCAAAATTATAAATTTGGTTAATAAATATAATTTAGGAAAATAATTAATTGTAGAAAAAATATTATTTTACTACACAAATGTACTTTGAGTGCCCTGAATTGTGATTCCTCCCTGAGCTTGAAATAAGTTACAGATCCTCCATTTACATACACCTAATATTATGATCCTTCAACCTAGGCTGCTGCAACCTCTAGAGTTGCAAGTTCTTTGTTGTAGAGTCACATTTATCCTAGAAGTAGGATCATCACAGGTAACTTTTCAGCTAACATATCTACAATTTTCTCTGCCCAGGTGCTGTAAGAAAGAAATGTTAGGTAGAATTCACAAATTATCCTTGATGATAGATGCGATCTTGATAAATCCCAGGGCACGCCCACCCCCTGGAAATTTAATTGCATCATCATATCATCGGGGGACCAAGTAAAACTAGCCTTGTAAACATGAGGAACATATGAGAATGACTGTAAAGTGTTCAAAGTAGAGTATATGCTTCAACATTGAAAATTTACAATAATAGAAATTTCATATCAAATTGTTTCTTCTGCAGCAGTTATGTATGTTTCCTTGATATCTTCTTGTAATTGTATATTTAATATTATTATTATGGCAGTTTCTATTTGTACACTACGTGTGTAAACACGGTGTTGCGTTGCATATGCATCAATGAATAAACATATTCTAATAAGAAAAATTTACCATGATATGACACTGATAATATCGTTTATATGTAGATATTATTGCATGTTTAAAAGGGCAACTCACCCCCAATGCTTATATTTCATAAGAAAAAAAGTTAATTTTTTTTATTGACGCAAATTTTATTATGTAATGCACGTGACACATGTATATACACTACGTGTTTGCTGAGAAATTTTCTATTATTAATGTTGTAAAAATTTTTTGATACATCAATCTCAGTCCATATTTATATACTTTAAAGTTTCTTTATTTCTTTTTTTTGATAAATAATAAATTTAGGGAATTGTTATTCGCACCCCTCCCATGACTAAGTGTAGTAATGTACCAATGAATGCTTTTAAAATGTGATGATTTTATTGGTTCATCTTTGTCTTGGTCACAGGAGGGGTGCGAATAACAAAAATGTAAATTTATCCATTTGTTTATTTGTTTTAGTAGATTCAAATAGATTTTATTAGAACAAAATGGTACACTACAGCAAATTTCAGAGAATCAATAATGCAATAACACACATAATAAGTATATATGGCTTGTAGCCTAGGTCCTGCAGAATATGCATGCAAAATTTTCATGTTTTCTGATTTTTGGTATGTTGTTATTTATTTCAAAAAAGAAAAATTAAAATAATTTATAGGGTCTAGTACTAGGCCACAAACCACACAGTCAACCCCGTTATTTCCGTTTAAAATTAGTATTAGTGTTAGTATTTAGGTTTAACAAATTTGGTTTAACGGGGTGGATTTACTGTTTCTTTGGTTTAACAGGGTTGACTACACAGTTGTGTATTTTATTATTATATATTATTATTATTATGTTTATTGTTTTTAGAAATAAACAATAATTCTATTTGTTTATCTGTTATAGTATGATCAAATAAATTTTGGATTTCCAATTAGACATTTTAAAAAAAAATATAAGATCATCATTAATGATATTCTAATTTTTTCTCTTTTTAAAAATATATGTACGTACCAATAATTAATTCAATTTAAAACTATCTATATGCTAAAGTTTACAAATAAAAATAAGTATTTTTTTTTGTATATATATAATATATATATTACTGAAAACTACTCGTCATAAATATATATAAAAAAAGATGTATCAATAATAGAAGGAAGATCGAATAATGTCTTTTATAGTTTTGATTAATGAAGACTATATATAATTGGATGTTTTGGAATCAAAAAAAAAGTGAAACGAAAGGAATTGAAAAAAGATCAGATAAAAAACCATACACATTTATAACCAATTCATGTTATCATGTTGAAGTCTCAAGTCAATGTTTATCAACTAATCTCAATACAATAAAGTTATGGTGATCTGCATGTTTTCGCCATTGACGATACTAAGTTATCCACATCTTTAGATTTTTTTCCGGTTTTTTTTAAGGAATGATCTAAATTTTCAATCATTCTCGCCATATATTGCACTGCAAACTATAAAATAAAATGGTTGTCAGATTAAAAAATCAAGACTATATCAATCACTATGAAATGGCAAATTTATAAATTTTTTACCATGAGTTTGTTCATATATTGATAATATAGATGGTTGTCGTTTCTAACTGGTATTGTAATCGCTTTTATCAATCGTATTCTGTAAATCCCGTAACCTGTTTGATCGAACGAATAAATTCTCATATTGAAACCTATTTGATAAACAAACAAATATATATATAATTAGCAGTTTGTTCGATGTCAAACAGGGAAGGAAAAAAATTTACCCGATATGATTATTCCGTAAATTTCGAGGTTTCTTAAACTTAAATCACCATGATTATATCTTCCGTATTTATTATAAAAATATTTTAAAATGAGATCGTAATTGTCTTTTAGCATTTTGAAACATTTATGTGTATCTGAGAGATCTTTGTCTTCGGTACATGTCCATGGCGTCCAACACACCTCCCCGAGTAGAAACTCGAAATTTACAGATTTAGGGTCACGGTATGACCTTTGTGTCAGTAATGTGACGTCAGATTTCCTCCCCATACCTCCCTATAAATGATCAATCAAATAAGAAACTGTTAAGATTACTTATCAAATTTTCTTATGTGAAAAATCACTTTTTTAGAAATTTACATTTTCGCCATTATTCCTTTCTTCTAATTTTCTTCTTTTGCTTCCAATACTAATCCTTTCACACCTGTTAAAAATTATATTATTAATACATTTCAATATACATGCATAAACGAAACAAAAAAGACATATATAATCTTACGTAATCAAATCTAACTCCTTTATGTCACGATTTGCGATGGTAAACGGAATAGTGATACAGTGGCTCTGCCACGTCCCTTCATTCAGATACCTTTTCTTTTTAACATAATCATTATTCTTACGGATGCAAAAGCTAGCAAATTATTTGGTAGTCATATATATATATTAGTGTGTTGGTTATATATATATATATGTTAATGTGTACATATGTATATATTAAGAAAAATATATAATACAAGCTTACAAATGATTTTTCATTTCGTTAATATTAATTTCACTTATAATTTCGTTGCCATTATTTATTATACAGCTCTTTGTATCCGAAATGATAGCCCATTCCTCGTCAGTAAAACTGTTTCTGAACCACGGATGCGGATGCGAAGTATCTATTATCGAAGAAGCAATTGGATCGTTTCGATCCAAATATGAAGGTGCAAACGCATTGATAATTTCTTTAATTCTCGTTTGCAAACCTTCTTTTGATACCAAATTATTTTCTATCGGTTTTAATATCTTTTTCTTGCGGATTAACCACGGCCATAATGCCAGCTTCTTAATCTAAAATAAAAATAGCTAATTAATTAACGTTATTATTATATTAAAAATAAACAAATATACAACTATTGTATGAGTACGTACATCAAGTTTTATCAATTCTAGCTCACTTTTAGGAACCTTTTTTTTTTGAGGAAATAAATAATGAGCTTTTTTTTATAATTTCTATTATGATTCATTTTCTATTAAAATAAATTAACTTACAGAATCTGATGATGATGATGATGATGATGATGATGATGATGATGATGATTGTCTAAGTATAGATACAAAGGAGTTTTAATCTAATATAGTATCTTTTTTTTAAAAAAAACTAGAGTGACGACAAGTGGCGGGCGATAACCACCACCACCATCCTTAAAACACTTACCCACTCACTCCAGCCCGAACATCACTCCTGCTTCTTTTTTTATCAGTTGCTTTGTTGTTACGTGGCATTTTGAAATCTTGATAAAATAAAAAGAAGTTTTGTTATGATCGACGCGTACACAGCATAGTAATAGTAGTAGTAGTAGATGATAGTAAATTCGAATTTATATAGTAAAAAAAAAATTTATAATAGAATGTCTTGCATCCTTGCTTGAGAGGAATTTCTCTACAAAAAAATGAACAAAAATGTGGGGACGGCCGTCCTATTTATATTTTTTTGAATTAATAAAATAGACTATTGTCTTGACCTGAGTAAAAGGCACTGTCACGTTTTCGTTTAAAAACTTGTTTATATATATTAAAATATCTGTATTCATGTTACATTCCATATATTTATTAAATTATTTTATTTCGCATTATTTATTTGGAAGGAATTAATGACAATAATCCCAAATGGTATAATTCACCCAGACTAGGATATTAATTAATTAAACATGTATATAAGGAACAAGAATTCGCTGTACTTTAAAAGTGACTTTGTAATAAGTTAACTTAATAGTGTACTTTCGTGTAATTGATAGTGTACCATTTTTGATTTAATAAAATATATTTGAATCTACTAAAGCAAATAAACAATTTATTATTTATCGAAAAAAGAAATAAAGAAACTTTAAAGTATATATGATTTTGAGATTGACATTAAAAAAATTTGCAACATTAAAAATCATTAAACTTCATTAAACTTTATACATTTAATAATATTATTTTCTTTAAAAACAATGCTGTTTAAATTGACCACTACTTGTGTGATTGATTCAATAAAGGAACAAAATTAATTATTTTGCAATAAAAGCTATTTGTTTGTTTATTTATTGTTGTTTTTTTTTGATTTTAGTATTAATGCATGGCTTCTATTCATAATACAATCAGAACTTGTTAAACTGAAGTCAATATTTTCAAAAAAAAAACTTTAATATAAAAACCTTAATAAAATCAGCTTATTGAGGTAGTTTGATAGGTAGATAATAAAACAACATTGGTTTATCGTATATATTTGGTTTATCAAAGCATTGTCTTAATAAGTTCTGACTGTATGTTTATTCATTTAATTTGTTTAATTCATTTATTTATTCAAATTACTATTATTCATTTTATTTGAATTATTTTTTACTCAAATTACTATTATTCATTTTATTTGAATTATTTTTTACTCAAATTGTTTGTTTTATTCAAGTAAACCTTATTTGAATAGAAACCTAACTACTACTCAAGATTATAATATTATTTTAGCACAAAGAGCTTTAGAAATATTTAATTAATAATTTAATTACAATATAAAAGAGTTATTGGTTTATTAAATTAACTAAAAAATAAAAGAATATCTGATAAAAATGCCAAGAATATTATTAACTTATCAGTATGCTAATACTTTGATTATTTTTTTAAAGAATAATCAGATTCTGATATTTGCTGATACCCCATTACCCAATTGGCATCATTCAACCAGTATAAAAAGAACAAATAGATTATATATAAGCAAATAAAGATGGGACCCTTAATTAGCACAAGAATTTTAAATCATAACAGTGCGAGATAGCTTTTGGGGCTATTCGCAACGTGTCCGATATTTATACTAGTTTCGTTATATCTTTTGGATATAACTCTCTATGTTTCAATAATTATATACTTGATATCTATGTTTCCTTTATTTATACGAATAGGTTTGTTGTCTATTCTCCTTTATTTATAAGACGCTATATTTCCTTTATATAACGTTTACCACACAGGTTCACCACGGGCTTTTCGTGGACTTTCTGGCTAGATATAGTTTCCTGATAACGTTTCCCGATTAATGCTCTCCGGCTATTAATCAAGTCAGGTACGCACCCCTCTTTATGCCGCAGCTATTCCAACAATAAAAATAAAAAAAAATAAAAGAAATAAAAATAAAAATAAAAATAAAGAAAATATTTACAACTATGCTACTCAAGGCGTCCCTATAAATAACACAGTAAAAGAAAAGGTATCCCATCCAATGATTAAAGGTTGGCCAGACCATCAACCATCGGGGGGAACTTGACACAATTTGCAATAGTTTTATCTAACTATGCAAAAATTCGTAATAAGGTAAAAAGTGTTATGTTTATTATTAGCGATATTAATTACAAGATTATTTATTTATTATTATTATTATATTATTATGAATTAATTATTAACATCTAACTTGGTCGAAAACTAAGTGTATTTATACCTCTTGAGGTATTACAGGTAATATGACTTTTACAACTACAAGATCCAATAAAATATATTCCTACTTATCTATCTTGTATAACTATTCTTGATAACCTAAAGTAAATAATTACATAATATCCTTGTTATATTGAAATAGAAATATGAATATAATATACAAATATATAAAAATAGAAATATGAATAGGTCCTTCGAACGTTATCAACGTTTAACGTAACACATGACTTCCGCACTAAATTGATTCTGATTGATCGAAAATAAGCAACTCTCGCGGTCTTCGATTTTACTATCTCACAACAGCTTGATAGCTTGATTGACATAGTGGTGCAGTCTTGAAATTTTTTTATTGTGTATTTTAAATATAATTAATCATACATCTTTAACAAAACAAACATGACTTAACTATTTAATCATTTCCTTCATTTCCTTGTATGTGAATGCCTCCATCCATCAAATATTTATGATGGTCATGATTATTATTCAATACATTTGATATCATCATTGACATAACAAACAATTGCATCACCCAGGTAATAAATAATACCAAGGCCATAAATGAAACTTTTAATAACACGTGTCTACCCAGATCTCTGGGGTTCACAAGAATAAATAAATAAATAGGGAGGATCAAAAAAAACATTTCCCTTTCCCATTGTATGGTTTCTTATGAATAATAAATCTGATGTTGTCCACAGGTGTCAGATTTAATAAAATTTTCCCATCACAAACATGCAGGTCGGTACAATTAAGTACTTTTCAGCACCATGGAATTTTTTTCCCACAGGTGAAAGCTCCCTGAACAAGCTGGAAGGCTTTAGACAAAACTTTTCTTTATCTCCCTCTCAGACCAGGCTTGGCTGCTTCTATACAGGCATTGATCATTGATGAATATCAGCATTTGTGTGATGATTGCTTTGTGTTAAATCCCTCTCTTACTAGAATAAAGTTGGTGTTAAGACTGGTACAAAATTCTCCAACTCGGAAGGTTGCAACCTGGGTTGCTGTTTTGTTGGTGGCATGCCTACTCACCAACAACCCTACCCCCATTTACTAAAATAACAAATTCAGTTGGTCAAATAAAAATTTAGAGAAAAACAGAAAATTTGGGAAAATGATTAATTTATATATAACATACCAAACAAAATCTGAACCATTTTATAACTTTTTTCTTGTTGGCCATATTGCTTGCAAAGATATATACATAATCATGTAATAATTTTAATCTATAGGACAGGTGACTGATTGGGCAAAACCTCATTCAAACCCCCCGAAATTATAAATTGGTTAGTATTAAAGAAACAGAGAATTTATGAAAATAATTATACAAAACAAACACTATTTTACAACTTTCCTCTTAACATCAGAGCCCAAATGCAATTTCAGGGTAACTAACCCTGCTCTGAATTGTAACTTCCTGTGCTTGCAGATTCTCTTAATATTCCTCTAGAGTTATGACATCTTGGTCACAGAGCCATCCTTGCCCTAGAGGTAGGATCGTTGCAGGCGACTTTTCATCTAACATGCCAGCAGCCATCTCTGGTCCGGGAAGATTAGTGAAAATGTCATTGATGATTGATGCAGTCTCGGTAAACTCCAGGGCCACGTATTACCCCTGAAAATTTAACTGCATCATCATATCATCGATACATCAGGTCAGATTAGCCTTATGTACATGAGGAATGTATGAGAATGACTGTAAAGTGTTCAAGGTAGTGTGCGTGCTTCAACGTCTGTAAAATTTCTGATAGTCAAACATTATATATCGAATTGTTTCTTTTTAAACGTTGTGCTGCCTTGATATCTTGTAATTATATAGTAATATTAATATTATTAATGATTACGCAAAGCAAAATATTATCAATGAAAATCTTGTAATTACCCAGCAATGATCTGCTCCGCATTTTGATTCCAATTAAAATATTTAAAAGGCACCACATTATATCAATACAAGTAAAAAATAGTACCTCTGGTTTGTTATTAACACATATTCTTTAGGAGACCCAAACCAAACCAAACAACAACACTCACGTTTTGTCACCTTGGACTCTGTCAAAAAATTTTTTTTTGTTTTTCCAAAAAAAAAACAATTCGCGTCTGTCCTACCAAAAAAAAAAACCAATAAATAATTAATGTGTACGCGTCGATCAATAAACAAACTTCTTTCTATATTATCAAAATGCCGAAAGACAGAAAAATCAAAGAAAAAAGAAAAAGTGGAAGAGAACAAGAAGATGTTGCTGGGTAAGTGTTTTAAGAATGGTGGTGGTTATTGCCCACCACTTGCCGTCACTCTAGTTTATCAAAAGAACGGGTTTGATGCATTACAAAATGATTAACAAAATTTCTGTTTCAAAAAAAGTAAAACAACAAAGAAAATATATGTTCTCATCATTCCTCCATCAACAATTATCATGAAGATTTAATGAATGAGTATTTGAATTTTATCAAAAAGAAAAAACAAAAACCTAGATTATTTGGTTTTCTACTTTATATAGCATATACTTCACGCATTGATTTTCGAGATAAAACTGCTGAAGAGACGAAATTAACTTTACATTGTGTTTACCAGGAAAAAATGACGAGTATTAATTTTTCTATCATATTCAATAAATGATGATATAATGAAGGAATATTTAAATTTTGTATACAACAGAGACGTTTGACTGTTGTTTCAAAATATTATTTATTGAATGTGTAGCAGATCCTCTCAGAAGATATTATCATTTGAAGTAAGATCCCCTTAATTAAATACCAATATATCTTATATACTCGAATGATATCTTCTTCAACAGAGTATTATGTCTGTTTGCATACTTTAAGTAATATGTCTTTGATGAATTATATTTATAATCTTTGAATAACCAAGACTCTTATTGCCTTTTTTAGGGAGATAAACAATTTCAATCGGAAATCGATGGTGACGTTTTGAAATACTGGAATCTATGTGGATCTGCTTTCAAACACAATCAATATGCACCTTTCATATTATTTATCGATAGAGCTATAACAGATTTAGATTGGGTCAATTTAAAAATCGAATGTGTTCAAGATCAAACAAATTTTGAACTGGCTCTGGAAAAAATCAGTTCAGTAAGTTAAAGTTCATTTACTCATTTGGTGTAAAAGTTCATCATACATTGGTTGATGTGATTGGATAATTTTCAATATTAATATGTAATACTATCGATTCATGCATTGAACTCTATATATTTATATTTTTGGTACTTTAGTTGAAAGATAAGGAAAGCATACCACAAGTTGTTAAAATTATTTCAATGATGGTAAATTCTTCTTTTATAAAAAAGAATGATCCGATCTTGTCTGGAATCATTTATTTACAACATCTTCAGCCAGAGATTATTTATTCACTAAAAAAGTTCAATTGTTTGAATGACTTATACAATTGTGATGAAGAAATTGAAAATGCTGAGCTCCCAAAAGAAATAATTGATTTTGTCCAAAATTATGTGAAAAAGAACGAGCGGTTTGAAATACCAGTCGAATATCATCATTCAGGGTTATTTGAATTGTTTGTGGCTGCTCAACAATTTACATCATGCTTTTTACGTTTGCATAAACAAAAAATGTATTATATGGTGCAAGTCACCTAGTCCCGCAACTTGCTGCGCCTCGTGGCCAATTTTGGGAAAATCACCAAAACTCAGA